AAAAAAAAAAAGTCAAACGTTGACATGTACTTTAACTCCAATGATGCTTTTATTAACCGGACGATTTCTTTCTCCCGGCTTTCATTTGGCTTTTTTGAATTTTCCCGCCGCGGCTCCAGTCTTCAGCTTCTTTTTAGCAGATCCTTTGACTTCGGGCTCCTGGAGGCAGATAAAAGTTGGTCGCAGAGCAACTGTGATCTTGTGTCTCATCGGAGAAAAATCAAGAGTTCATTTTCAAACAAACACCCCTGAAGTTATCATTGGGAATAGCAAATAAACAAATACCAGATAAATTAGCATATGAACCGTGAATTAATGTCACTGTTATATATTTTTTTTTATCTACCTCAGCTAGAGATGTTTGTTCACTTCCTGTAAACACTGACTGGCAGTCTTTTAAGCGTTCAAAACATCCCGAATTCTAGCCAACCAAGGTTATTACAGTGAACGAAAACCAGAGCAATAACTAAAACTAAAATGGAAAAAACATGTATGTGAACGGAATTTAAAAAAAACAAACGACATCATACATTTATAAAACTAACTAAACCTATTACTGTCGCGAAAATGCCTTTTGTTCATTGACCGTTCATTTTAAATAACGTCCTTGTTATACCATGATTTGAGAATTGGAGTTTCCTGTCTTACGCAACACTTGGAAAGCTTTTTTCCATACACTCCAAAAATACTAGATCTATTAAAAAAAACAAACCCTAATCAAATAATAAAAGTGACAAGCTTCTTCTTCAAACGAAATGAATTGAAACGTCGAAATGAAATAAAAGCAAGACTGAAAGATCCCAAGCTACGAAAACCCTGCCGCATGCAGACTTCTGAGGCAGTGAACTCCTCGAGACACTAAATCGAAATAAAGCCGACTGAGCGAGCGAAATGAAGCCGACCCCCGAATCATTGACCAAAATAAAAATAAACAAATCGGGATGGAGACAACCAGCGGTAGTCCAATACCTTCCGTTTGGACGACAGCGACCCGCTGACCGAGAAGAAAGCGTCCAGTCGTCCCTGCGTGCTCCCCTGGCGACTCTTGACGATCTTCTTACACCCGTTGCGGATCCTGTCCTCGCTACAGCCACACACATTTACAGCGTTCATGTGAGCAACGAGCGCGTCATCCTGCGCCGAGGACGCTTTTCTTTTGGATTGCCGCCGCGATCGACTGCGACCAGCCCGTCGCCGCTAAATCGGCTTCATGCAAAAGGGGCGGCCGCGTGCTCGGGTTTTACCTGAACTGTTTTTCTTCACACATGAACCGTAGCAGCCCGCCCTCGTCCGGCTCGTTCCACTTGAGCTCCACCGCGGAGCAATCCACCACTTCAGGCTTGAGAAAAAGCTCGCGGGCCTCCTTGTACAGCCAGTTGTCTGGAGCCGGGTGCTTCTACATAGTCCCCAAAACCAAAGCAAAAGAAGGAGTCAAGCGCCCAAGCGGGGCGCGAGCAAGCTTTTTAACTTGAGCAGCCTTACATTTGGGTCAATGTTTTCCAGGATCTCCTCGATGCTGCCGTGCTGCCTGATCAGGTCGATGGCGCGCTTGGGACCGATGCCCTTGATGGTGCCGCAGTAGTCGCATCCCAGCAGAATACACAGGTCTATGAACTGGAGGGAAACGCATTCGGCAATGTATCCAACTCAAATCACCTGGCAAGAGTAGAATGCGCCTTTCAAATCGCAAAGGCTGCAATTTCGTTTCTTTTTTTGGGGCGCATTGGGGCCGAGGCCCGCAAGGCACGGCTCGCCGCCGCATTACAGTCTAGTCCAAGTGGCGATTGGAGGGCAACGGTGCGCTCTAAGAAGTGACGGCAGGTGGTGAGTTGCGGCCGAGCGCCGCCGCGCGCTTGGGTCCACGGGCACGACACTCTCGGTGGATGAAGCCACCGTCGGTAGCAAAGCGCGCATAAAAGGGAAACCGGTGTCGCATACATCGGCTCTGTGGCAAGTGGCGAGACTTCCATACGTTCGGTTCTCGATTGTCCTGATGAAACGCTCGCTTCAAACTGACTTTGTCTGGTTGCAGGATCATCTTGCCGCCAATAGAGGGGGCGAATGCACGGGGAAAAGGTGAAATGATACGACTGACCTATCCGACGAGAAAACATGGACCAATTTTTCCCCTCAGCCGTACAGACAACTCAGGTCAGTGCATCCACATCTCTTTTTACCTGTTCGTTTGTGAGGTTTATGTCCTGAAGAATGCGACTGAAGTGGAACTCTTGGACCGGAAGCTTCCTTCAAAAAAAAAAAAAATAATAATAATAATCATTTAAAATGATGGGATCGCTTCAGGGTTGTCAGTGATGGAGCGCCGAGATTGGACTAATGAGCGACCAAACCACGATTCAACTTTCTGGCCATGATTCCAAAAGGTACGTTTGGCGCAAATGCAACTCTTCATTGTTTCGGGTGTGTCTTTGACAGCGAGTTTGACCCCCCCCCCCCCAAAAAAAAATTAAAAAAATAAAAACCGTGATCCCGTAAGCTGACGTACTTTGCTTCGCTGGCCGTGAGGTGTCTTAGCAGGACGTTTGTTCCGAAAGTCAGGCCGTCCATGTCCTCCGTGGCTGTGGCAAAGACCTTCCCTGCTTTGACCAGAGCGGCGCAGCTGGCCTCTGCCTCACACGGCGCCTGCAAACGCGCGTTCAAGACGAGCGCCGTGAAAGCAGTCGACTTTTTTGTCATGGCGAGCACACCTTGACCACGCACGTTTACATAGAAGCCCAAAAGAAGCAAAAGCTTTGCAATTTGGTGTCCGTGTCTGCCGTCGCCATTTCCAATCGGGGCTCTCCTCTCCTGGATGAAGTCGCCGGGAGGACGTTTTTCAAAGGACCGTTCTCCAAATGGCCGACTCGCTTTGTTTTTGGCCATGGGTCTTTTGAGACTTTTTCGTACGTGCAACTTTGTG